AAATTGGCAGCAGCAAATAGAATCAAACACCCCTAAAGCAGAAAGCGCCCTAGGATTGCTACGCCGGCTTTGCAATAAGAATTTAGGGATGCGCAGGGATAGGTTAATTATGATATACAAACTTTACGTACGCCCAATTCTGGAGTTTGGTTGTGTTCTGTTTTCCGGAAGTGCTGAGTACAAATTAAGACCTCTTATATTGCTAGAAAGGCAAGGTCTGCGGCTGTGTCTCGGGCTATACCTAGGTGTGTCGCGAATAGCGCGCTTTATTTGGAAGCTAGAATCATTCCACTTGATGCAAGATTTCGACAACTTACTGTGCAAACATTTTTAAAACTTGATGATGCGCCCCTCTTCTGTTCACAGACAGTTTTCATCAAACATCCAGTTTCTTTCTTTCAGCGCCCGTGGTTTCGTTATCAAAGACCCCAAGTCATTTTCGTCGAGTCTCTGTTATCAAATCTTCACGCTTCCCTCCAGCATTTAACTCCCCAAACGCAATGCTCAGTGCCAGTATACTTAATTTTCGCCGATATTTTTCCGAAAAATGCCAAGGTGTACTTCCAAAGCATGTTCTGGAGGGCCTCATTCAAGACCATCTCAGTCATTTTCCCAAATACGTAGTAATTTCGATGGATGCAACGCAAAATCTTCAGAAGGCTGGAGTAGGTATTTTTTCTCATCAGCTTAATTGGTCTTTTGCGCTCCGATTGCCTGACTTCACACCAGTTTATCTCGCAGAATTCCTGGCTATTACATTGGCTCTTCGAAAACTAAATGATCAGCAATCAAAAGCTATTATTATTTCGGATGCTTTGTCTGTATGTAGACATCTAACGTCCGCAAAGCAGTCTCCTCTTTTTAGGATATTTCGGTCTCTCGTACCGCATAGCCTATCAGAAATTCGGTTTATTTGGGTCCCCTGGCATGCTGGAATTGTACTAAATGAAATTTCTGATTAGCTCGCTTCGGCATCTTTAAATTTCCCGGTGGTGCTAGTAGCTACACAGTTTCCTTTTATTACTGCCGAACGATTCAAACGCCTGTTAATTTAGAAAATCAACGATACGTCGCTCCTACAATCTGAAGAATTTCGGCACTTGCAATTCACAAGGAACACCGCAAAACGCCTTTCCCGTCAATGTGAGGTGACCCTCACAAGCTTTCGCTGTAGAGTTCCTCGGTTTAGTTTTATCTCAACAAATCAGGATTTTTAATAACTAACCTATGTGCAGTTTGCAATGAACCGGAAACAATCGATCACTTTCTTCTCACATGCCGCCACTTCACCTAACTGCGCCTAATAATTCTTGAAAGACCGATTATACGGTATGCTCGGATTGCCAGTCAATACATCCACCCTATTATCGTTTGGAGCCAGTCAGTTGGGTGTGGGCCGCAGTGCTATTCTGTCAGCGCTACATACATTCATTCAGGCAACCGGGAGGATACACTGCTAGTGGTACTGCCAGATATATCCAATTCTTTCTCCCCCTTCCTCATTCTTGTTAATTTGTTTTATATATTCTGGTTTATTGATTTCTTCTGCACTTTTTCACGTTTTTTAAAGGAACATTATTATTGTTCCTATCTAATTTCTGTTTCTTTTTTTAGCAAGCGTTGTAATAAATATCCATTATAAGGTACAGTGTGGCCAATCTCCCATGTGGGTATGAGCCAAGATCTCCTAGGTGACAAGACAAGACAAGACAAGCTCTTGTTCTCCATCTTGGCTTGCGCGTTCGCGCTGTGTAAATATGTCTTCAAACGCCTGGTTTCCCGTGTGCCTTCACGTAACAATATCAATCAATCAATCAGTATCATAACAAGAGTTGTGCGACGTGCACGTAATACACATAATTTATTACATGTTGTACAAAACGACACAAATGAAAGTAAAATACAGATGCCAGAGATGTGTGTACATACACGAGGAAAAGTCTCCTTCACGTCTCGGTAGGAAGCTTAGTTGCCTATTGATAAATATGCCCAACATACACAATCCTTCTGCCATACCACCTCGACAAATCAAACTGCAACGTTCCATGGCAATGACCTACGTTGTAACACCACGCAATGGTTAAAACTTTGAGAACACCTAGCTGAAATCTCTAAAACCAATGAATTGAAATGCAGTTACACAACCTCGGGAGGTACAATGGCAGGTTTCGCTATCTGCGAGATCCTTGAAAGTTCTCGTTGTCAACTTTACCTCGGCAGTTCTGTAGCATGGTGAAGACTGTTTAGGTTTATCTAATGACATACGATGTCAGGCTATCGACTACTCATATCAGTTTACCTGAACGCTATGGAACCTTCAGTGCACAATTAAGTAGTGCACATTGAGCAGGTTTTCGTCAGATAAATTTGATATACATTAGAGTTAAGCTCTAAATTATTTCACCAGCACGTTGCGACTGCACAGGTAATGGTAGTTGAAAAAACTGCCACGGTAAGACGTATTTATCAGAACCTGTATTAGTCTACACAAATATAAGCAGCACCAAATCGATCACAATCATATCGTGGTTTTGGGACGTTAAACCCCACAAATCAATCAATCAATCGATCACATTCAGTATAAACAGCGTGTATCCAGTACAACACGACAACGGTATTATGCGGTTCGGATTAACTATTTTAGGCTAAAAACATTCTAGAATGTCGAAAAAAAAAAGAAGGGACGATGCAACTTTCGAGACTTCGAAATTCTTTTGGGGTAAAATCAACAATTGTTTACCTTAAGTGCTGCTTCACCAAGCAAAAAAGGGCCAGCAATCACACAGTATTCACAATAACGAACACCGTCTCGGTTTGGACCCATGAATACACTCAAAACTAGCACTTGCACAGAGGTGCCATGGTGTACAACATCGCCACAAGAAGCAGCCGTTATTTACAGTTAGCACGTAATGGAGGAACGACACAACAATGGATCCATTAAATGCATGGTGCCAACGCCAGTGCGCAGACTCTGACTTAACTATGCATTTCATTTCTTCTTTTCTTTCTAAATGTACACTGTTACATGTGCTCCTTCCTGATGGTGTCGTACTCAGAATCACTAGATCACACGTTCTGCTTGAAACGTGACTCAGTACAGCCCCAGCAGCGAACGATGTGATCACTCTTTTTGTCAGAAGGGCTTGCATGTTTTCTTGGTGCCACGCATGTTCAATTTGTGAAGCTATTTTCGCAGTATTCTTTATTCATCTACTTACTTATTTGCCAATATGGGCCACAATTTAGAATGAAGCTGTCATGGGATCCACTGTCTCACAGCACAAATAATGTGAGCCTAGACAAACTTCCCTGTAGAAAGGCCTGAAACCTTCAGGTTCATGCTTTTTGCTGCGTGTCTTTTATAGAAGTTCAGATAGGTACTTGACCACGCTTGTTGTAGGCTTACTTGTGCGATGATGTCTGCTTAAACCTCGTTCTTGGCGTGTTCGAGTTGGTAATCAAGGCGATGGCACCAGCACGGATGGCGTAAGAAAATGTACAGGGAATCCAGTGCTAGACGTGGATCGAGCATAAATTACTGACTACGATTAAGTTTGTGCACTTCACACGTAATACATGGGACAACAGTGGCTATCTGTAAATGAGAGTGACGGAGAAGGGGGCGTCCTATACTACACAGCAATGCTGTTTTAACGACTTAGCACTTGGCGAACAGTGAAAAAGTTTACAGCACACATCATACATGCACTTGTAAAACCCGTTTGGGTGGACGTGTAGTGTCAATACCCTGTCAACAATAATGATAATGGCTGTATAAAGTCATGCACCGTCATGATCGTGGATGGTCGCGTTATGCGTGGCCGTACAGGAGCCAGGCATACCTATACAACACAGGAAAAAAGATGCAGCGCTTTCGAATCTGAAAGTCAGAGTGATGTGGCTACGCGAGTAAACTAGTTTGGCAGCTTTACCCTTAAAGTCTTTCTTTACAAGTCACGAAGAACGAACGTTATATTTAGACATGCCCGTTGTTACTGTTGCGTCGAACGCAACAGAGTTGGATAATGTTTTGAAGAATGAACAGAACCCGTTGAGTAATAACTCGCCCTATAATTAATCGAAGCCGACCTTATTAAATGTTGGATGAACTCATCGCAGTGATAACGAAGTGATGTTGCAGAATTTCGATGTTAATTCTTCGTGTGAAAGAGCCGAATACACTAGGGTCACTTGCCATGTGCATGCAATAGCTTTGAACAGTTTTCAAGGTTTCCCCAATAAACCTGAATAACAATAAAGTCAGACTGATGTCTGACTAATATGTTTTACCTCATGAAGCGATTTGCAGGAGCACTAACTTCGAATCATGCGCGTCACTTCCACGTCTGCAAGTCTTGTTTGTGATCGATCACATGTTTCTGCATAATCATTCAACAAATAATCCCTGGGATCTTGTGGGCGTGGCTTACGTTACTTCAGAGTCAACGCTGTTTTTTTTATGTAAGCTAATCCTGATGGTATACTCTGAAGCCAACTTCATCTTATAATAATGAATCAAAAAGGCAGTATGGAGAGATTTCATATCTCACAGCGGTACGGGAAACTAGACTGATTTACGTGTAGTAGAACACCGGTGGCAGTTGACCATTGCAGCTTTTTCTCCCTCTTCAATTATGTGAGCATAATCAGGTTGCAAATGTAAGAGTTTCTACTTGTTTTTGTACGGCGTCTTTGTTTGTGACTATGTAATACCTGTGTGCCTTGCGCATCAGGAAAAATGTTTGCCCAATTCACCCTTCATTGGCATTAAGCGAGAAGCGTTCAAACAATCCAGCTATTTTGCTGAGGCATTCCCCACTGCAAACGATATACACATCCTCACGACAGGCTCTCCTTGCAGATACACGCAATGAGGACCAGTGGAAGATGCCCTAAAAATAAATAAACTTGTTAGCGAAAGGGTTAAAGCTCCCGTTCAACTTCGTCATGGATTGAAAGTTCTAGTGTTTAACTGGTAGGTCATCTAACTCGACTAATTTTTTTTTGTGGGGGAAGGCGACTGTTTCTTGGTTATTGTTCGCGTGCATGTTACCGACGTCGCTTCCGTGACGGAAATGACGTCTGTGAAGTCTTGAAACACTTTCCTGTTTAAAAAAGCCAATGACTACGCTGGGCATTATAGCGAAGGTGGTGAACCAGTGACAAAGAGCGCATGTGAACGGAGGGCTTTGTGAATTCGGCATTGTAGTCTTTGAACCTATGCCTACTTGCTGCTTCCTATGCGGTGTGACTACGAATGTCGTTTGACAACATTGCTCGCTATGCCCATGTCCAAATATAAAAAAAAAATCAGCCTGTGGTCTGAATGCTGCGTTTGCTATAAGTAACGCAGGTATTGTGAAACACATGCTTTGTCTCATTGAAATTAATGTATTCATCACCAGCATTACGAGAGACCAGAAAATTTCCGGCTGCATTCACTTTATATCAGTTTGAACTGGATGAAATGAACGCTTGAACTTTCGCTTCGATAAAACTGCATTTCAGTTTTTGAAAGTGCCCGCGCTCTTATTGGGGTTGATTTCACGAATGGGGATTCTCTGAATAGAAATGTCATTGTCATGTACAAAGTCATGGCTGATTATGTAATGCGACCTCAAACTTCGTAAGCATAAATCTTCGATAAGGTCCCCCACTCGGTGGCTAGTATGTTTCTTAAAAGTTTTTTGGGACGAACATGTCTCTTCTATCATTTTTTATTTCTCTTACCCGTTTCACCAGCCCAGAAAAGCCAGCCGGTTTGGGAACTGACTAACTTCTCTTTGTTTCCGTGTATTTTGTTGCCTCATTCTCTTCCTCGGACGAAATGAACCCAATCAATATAATTAGACTAGGTGATAGTAACGAATGAGAACCGGTATTCGAATTTTAGGCCGGTGCAGCGTCTGCATAGCGCACACTTCACGCTATTAATTATCTTCAAAAAAAAAAAATAACAGCGGCGCATCGTGATCGGTGCATTCACATGACATAGGAAAACACGGAGAACATAACGCGAAATGTGGGCCTCAAACCCCGTTAATGAAACGATGCACCCTCGAGACAAAGAAACAGTCTGCACAAAGGCTGACACATATCATCAGTGTCACAGAAGCTTGGATCAATGAAATGTTTTGTGAATGAACTGATCACTGAATAAGTGGATTTCTCCGCAACCACTCGAGCCATGAAGTCTTCAATTTCCTGACGAGCACTCTTCCCGGCCATTTAAACTCGCGAACGCCAACTGTGCCTCGACGGTGCGAGCGTCTTCTGAGTGCCAGCCAGAGCCAGCGACGCATCGCCCCAGGCTAAGCGTCGAACGACCTCTCTGTCTCTGCAAATACACTTCCTTGACGACTATGTAAATGGCCACAATGCGCTCTTTCTCAGAAAAGCTGCGACCACACTATAGACGTGAGATAGTCCTGAGCCTTTGTGTACACGCCCGTAGCGGCCGCCGCTAGCAGGGTGTTATACACCGTTGGCGGTCGTCTCCTAGATCGTGTAGAGGCGGGGAGAGGAAGGGGAAGACACGTGTGTCATGACATTGGCTGATAACCACGCTGTTTCACTGGCGCAGTCGAAACGCTTCAGAGAATTGTGTCGTCGGCTTCGGAAGACTCGGAAAGCTCGTGGATGGCGGCGATCGACTGGCGGGCCATTGGGTGGTACGAGCCAGCAGCAGATGTACAATCCGTCGACGCGGAGGCTATGTCTGTGCCGGTCAGGCTCTGAGTGGCCACTGACGATCGCGGAGTCCTGTTACCTGCGACAGATCGAAGACGAGAAGCAGTAATTATCACGCGATAAGTCAGCCGTAACTGCAAACGAAAACAATACCACCAACAGGCTGCGTCAATCATAAACGTTCGGAGTGATCAACAGTGGATGAACAAAAAAATGCCCAGCCATAAACGTGCACACGAGAGAAGGGGCAGAACCCCCTTCCCCCCCTTTGATCACGTAAGGGTGGAGGGGCGAATTACACACGATGCATACACTCAATCGGACCCGTACAGTAGTTCTTTAAAAAGCAGGGATGTGGCCATGCAGTTTTCTGACGATAATAGCGGCTGAAGGCCCTTGATGTTGCATTGCAGAAACTGTTAAGCCTATACTTCCCACCCTCACTTCAAGAAAGTCAGGAACTAAAGGCGAAGCCGTGGTGAGAGGCGTGGTTTTGGCCCACCTTCGCAATCACAAGTTCTAATTGTGATGCCGTGTTACGAACAGTTGAAATTAAAGTGCATTTTCTTTAGTTTTTTTTTGCGTACGGGCTCCCGCGTCCTCATTGGCAAATCGGGAAACATAGTATACGGCTTTGTGATAGCGCGCAGAGGCAAAAATGAATAAAATGACCAAGAAATCTGAACCCTGTCGCTTGATGAGCTGATAAAAGCCATTCTTTGTCCTTAACACCTCGGCCTATAAAGATTCATACCTAGGGTCTTTACTAAGCACCTCCTTCGCTGGCACAAAATTGAAACAATAAAGTTGATAAAGCACATGCACTTTGAATGTGCAAGTACATTTGCATGTATTCTGTGCAATGGTACGTCTGAATTTGATAGTTTTCGACTTGCCGTCCTTTGCACAGGCTTTTTAAACCTCTACGTGATAAATTAATGTGGCGAAAAACAATAAAAACGCCTTTTTAACGCAGTCTTCGTAAGTAAATAATCTCAAACTTGTCGGTAGCCTCAGCACTTGGGCTAATTTGGCATCTTGCTTCTATAGTGGTTTTCATTTCCACATGTGTTCCACGAATTATGATGTGCTCTAAGGTGCCTAATTATAAAGCTTTATGCACTTAATTGTCCATGAGCAATTGTAGCACCAGTGTTGACGTCCATTGTGTCTCACTCGAAAAAAAAATGTCATTGTACAGCACTATTGCGAATTGCCTGAAGCCCTCTCTAAATGTCACGTGACATGTGACATGTGTCAGAAACCTGTACTTGGAGTTCAGCCTCACGTCAAGCTGGTGCAATGTTGTTCTTGTTCTTGTTGACCCATTGCACGTGGTGTATACCCACTGTGGGAGATTGGCCAAGAATGGAGCGGTTTTATGAAATAGTATGCAGTTTTAAAATAATGGAGGTTATACATTAGAAACGTTGTCGATTACCTGCGAAATTATGTTGCTTCATTCAATGCATACAATTATTTAAATAAAAATTTTTTTCCTAAAATAAGAGCTGTACCCTGATATCAAAGTGAAATCATCGTCCTTTTTTACATGCATATCCTAATCTTCTTTCTCACATCAGCACATACAATTTTTCCAGCAGTGATACCATGTACTATGATGATATGAGTCTATGATGATATGGGGGGGGAGGGTGTAGTAGGAGGGTTCACACGCTATCTTCAATTTTCGTACTCTTTTGGCAGATTTTGTTGCAGTGTTAACGTCGTTTAGATAATTGCTGATTAGATTACTATTTTAATGTGAGGCCTGGCACGAAGCCATGTGTTCGTACCTCGATGTCGAGGTAAAGATTCATGTTTGTAACAAAGGTGGGAAAAAAAAAGAAAAGTCAGCCGAAAGAAGATGTGTACCTACTGGTCAACATGCACTCGATTTGCTTGTGGCATTTGAGGATGCGCTGGGAGAACTTCTGGATGCGACGCCTCAGTTCCGTCGGCGCTGCAAGCGTGTAGATGACCGGGTTCAGAGCACTGTTGATTGGCAGGATGAACACCACGACCCATGCGTACACGTTCTCTGCAATGGGTGTAATTTTCCCTCACTGATGCTGCCATGCGACTGCGCTGAGGCAAAAATACAGGCTACTGTATTGCGACAAACGGCACATGCTTGCATGAAATCAACGAAAATGCATATTTTTAACTGCATTGATTGATATGTGGGGTTGAGCATCCCAAAACCACCATATGATAATGAGAGACGCCGAAGTAGAGGGCTCCGGAAATTTCCACCACCTGCGGTTTTTTAACGCGTGCACCCAAATCTGAGCACACGGGCCTGCAACATTTCCGCCTCTATGGGAAATGCAGCCGCCGCAGCCGAAATTCGATCCTGCAACCTGCGAGTCAGCAGCCGAGTACCTTAGTCACTAGACCACCGCGGCGGGGCATGTTTATCCGGAAGATGTCAGAAAAATAGTTGCATCATATCAATGATGCTTTCATTATATTGGGTGCTGTTTTACATGCGCAAACAAGGTGTGATTATGAGGCACGCGGAGGTGAAGGGCTCGGAAAATTTTGAGTCTCCAGTGGATCCACCGAAATGCCGTCACCATTTCCGGGATTGGTTCCCACGGGCTTCAGGCCTGCAGTGAAGCAACATAAACACTGGACCACCGCTGCGTGCGTATATAAAACATTTACAAGAGGGTATTTAAGAAACATAAAAAAATAACTTCATGGATATCTGTTGTTGAACTGAAAAGCGGTGTCCCAATCGACTGCAGTGAATTGTGCATGCGGTACTGCCATGCAAACGACCTCTGCATACTGTCATAACCACGCGTGAGCTTGTCGTGGATGTTTCGACTTACCCGAGATACGCACTTCGCAGAGGGCCAGAATCTTTATGATGACGATGGGAATCCAGCAGAGGCAGTCGGTGAGCACAATGAAGAAAAATCGCAGCGCGAGCACCACGTCCTCCTGCTTCTTCAAGGTGACCGGACGTGCGCGCTGTCTGTCTTCTCGGATGATCGTGAACATTGACAGGTATAGACCCATGATAAGCACCATCTGCGCAAGACGAGGCGGAACAAGTGGAGTTCAACGAATGGGTTCAAACACGCAGCTATCGCGTGTGCTTGCGCTTTTACAGTCGTCTAAATATTTATCTAGCCTCAAGAGCAGCAATTTTCGCGGCGTTTCACTGTTCCAACACTGAACTAAACTTCAAAAAAGGTTATGGCAAGTGCAGTCTCTAAAAGCTCCGGCCCACTAAACATTTTTTATCGCAATTTGCCACGTCGCGTGGCACATACACAAAAACAATGTTGCTGCTACACACGCTAGTTGAAAATTAGGCAGGGTGCATACGTACTTGAGCAGTGCGTGCATCTAATACAGTAGTTGGGATTTTGCGTTCCGAAACTGCGATACCATTACGAAAGACACAATGTTTGAAGGCTCTGGAAATTTCGACAAGCTGACGTTCTCTAACATGCGCCGAAACCTAAGCACGCGGGTCTCTGGCATCTCGCCTTCATCGAAGTGCGGGCGCCGCGGCCGAGATTTGATCCCGCAACAATCAGGCAACAGTCGACCACCGTATCCACCACGCTGGGATCGCGAGCGTCTTCTTAACGTTTCACAAACACGAGTAATGACGGTTGTGTCCCTACCACTCTCAGGTGTGTTACCTGCGCTAAGAGAAATAAATGGACAAATGTAAATCGTACATTTCGCGCGCTCATAAACAACTGAACACTATCAGCACGTATATGCTATTGACGACTGATGAATGCGCTTAGACATATTTATTGTTCAGTGGACAAAACAAGTTATGAGCTCTTGGTTCTTTATTTTTCCTTTGCCACATTCTATACTCCTATACGTATACGCAGTGATTTAAGCCGTTATGGCACTCGACTGCTGACCCAAAATTCGTGGGTCGAATCCCACCTCTGGGCGCCACATTTTGATAGAGGCGGGGTGCTATAGAGTACTGTGTACTTAGATTTAGGAGCAAATAAAAAAAACGCGAATGATCAGAATTTTCAGAGCCCTCCACTACAGTGTCCCTCCTGGTGATATCGTAATTTTGGGATAGAAAACAGCAACAGTTGCTATCCCTAACCTTAATTGTAGGCTAGCTTCCTGTACGGTAATTTGAATACGGTAATCATCCACCTCGAGGGCCAGTGCTCTATACGTCATGGGTGTAGTCTGGGGACATCGAGCTGAGTTATTCCCGTACACAGTGAAAGCGAGGGCTATTGTGACACGTTGTGACCATTTAATCGCTTCAATTGCTCTACCAGACATCATCGGTGGCGTAATACGCCTGTTTGGCTTATAGTATCTTTTGGATCGCTGGGCATGTACAGTCCTCATTTTTATGAAAAGGAAAATGCGAGCACGTGGCAGATAGCCTGATACCACACATGTGGTACGGTACAGCGGCGATATCTGAAAATCGAATGAGAGAGTGGAGCCATCTCTTCTAATTTCTGCCGTCCCTTCATGAATGTGTCCTACATGTCCCTTATCCCCTGTGTACAGTAGCAGATTACAGCACACTAGCTAAGGCCGACCGCTCTTATCATCATCATCATAATCATCGTCATCATCATCATCAGCATGACTACGTTCACTGCAGCACAATGGCCTCTCCCATGTTCCGCCAGTTAACTCGGTTCTATGTTTGCTGCTGCCAATTTATACCCGCAAACTTCTTAATCTCATCTGCCGACCTAACCTTCTGTCTCCCCCTAACCCGCTTGCCTTCTCTGGGAATCCAGTCAGTTACCCTTAAACGACCAGCGGTTATCCTGTCTACGCGCTACATGTCCGACCCATGTCCATTTGCTCTTCTTGATTTCACCTATGATATCCTTAACCTCCGTTTGTTCTCTAATCCACTCTGCTCTCTTCTTGTCTCTTAAGGTTACACCTACCATTTTTCTTTCCATTGCTTGCTGCGTCGTCCTCAATTTAAGGTGAACCCTCTTTGTAAGTCTGCAGGTTTCTCCTCCGTAGCTCAGTACCGGCAAGGTACAGCTGTTATATACGTTCCTCTTGATGGAGATAGTGGCAATCTACCTGTCATAATTTGAGAGTGATTGCCAAATGTGCTCCACCCCATTCTTATTCTTCTAGTTACTTCAATCTCGTGGTTTGGCTCCGCGGTTATTACCTGCCCTAAGTAGACATAGCCTTTTACAACTTGAAGTGCACTATTACCCATCTCGAAGCGCTGCTCTTTTCCGAGGCTGTTGTACATTACTTTCGTTTTCTGCAGATTAATATTAATACCCACCTTTCTGCTCTCCTTGCCTGACTCCGTAATCATGAGTTGCAATTCGTCCCCTCTGACTCTCTATATATATGTTTCGTTCGGACATTTCAGTGAAGAATGATTGATTTCTATACGAATTGCTGCTATCACAGCTTCGTGTGCGACAACAACGTGAAGTGATAAAAAGAAACGAAGACATAAAAAAAACGGGTGCAGGCAAAAGACTGAAAGCGCTGCTTTTTCCTTTTAATTTATTATTTCGTCACGGCGGCTTAGTGCAAGACTATTTGTCACATGCTAACGTGCTACCTTCCATGTAAAATGACGGCCGTATGCGGCACGTTTCTTCAAAACACTTAAGGTGTAAACCTAGCTTCCAGTTTCGCAGAATTCCTTGGTGAGCAACAGCTCAATGGACATGAACAAAGCCTCCGAGCATACTTATAGGCAGTGCCCGTGTCTCATTTCGTTTGTGCCCGAATGTTTGCCCACGCTAACGACACGCTGAAAATCTATTAACTCCATAAGTTATAGCCTAGTTCAGCGGAAGTTTCTTTCGAAGCACTGTCCTTTTTATTGTGCGAAGATGTTGTCATAAGATCAAGGACGTTCTGCGGCGTTCGAAGCAATTTAATATGAGCCCGAGCTGCGAACAGAATGAAAAATGCTGTGAAGTCATGTTATATATCTTATCGATGCGCCGGAGCAAATAGTCCCAGTCTCACAAACCAGTCTGCCTCATTTATTAGAAGACATTTGACGATGAACGTCAAGAAAGCAATCTTGCGTCAAGAAAACGCACGCTGCAGTCAGTCTTTTGGCGAGCAGCGAACCGTGCCGCAGGCACTCATCAGCATAACAAAGGAATCTGGAAACTTTATGAAAAAAAAAATACTTCCGTTTTAGGAATCGCTCTTTGGGAAGGCGCCCGGAATAGTGGTTCTAAAGTCGGGAAAGGCAAGCTTGGAACGACGTTGTACTTTATCAAAACTACCAGACCGGAATATATAAATGGGAGCAGGACGGACCAGTGGCGTCGCAGATGATCCGGAATGCCTAAACTCACCAGGCCGCTCGTCATACTGCTGCCAACGCTTTCGACCGACTCCTGGTCGTTTAACGTTATGGGTGCCGACATCGGAATAACCTGAGATAACTGCTAACACTTCCTCTTTGCTTACTTAAATGGATCGAATTGTTATGTATGCCAAGATTTATGCTTCGTCCTGGTATTTGGCTGTCGCAAGTTTGCTGCGGCACTTATTTCACAGTTACGATGTCTAGTTCTCAAAACGGCGGGTGTCTTTCTTTTATGATATGTTCCTCATGCCGTATATCTGTACTTCCATATATACTTCCCCCTGAAGAAGTGATGAGGCTGTATGAGTTGTTCACTATTTTGGGACGTCAGCAATAACGCTAAGCTCGTCGATGGAGATACATCACAGTGACCTTTTCGAAAACTATATCCTCTAAATTATCATTACAGTTTAGTATAATTTAAAACAGTATACTTATTTATTTACATAATGTCTCGGAGTTATGACTAGAAGTTAGAATCGATGGTTAAATTTTTTATGCTTCTGTCAAGTTCTTCGCACTGAAGCGCTGTAGCGCTAAAACGTTTTTTTGCTCGCCAAGTTTGACAAACTCTGTCGTGTCGCTTCATCAAGTTTGCACTACCGACAATGTGGCCCTCTAGAACTAGGCTATCGAATTTCTGAGTTACCTGTATGTTTATAATCGCATCTTCCCTGCATCTGCTAATCAATGGTGTCATAACATTTGAGCTGACTGCCCGTTATGATTTTTTTTCTTTAGGCAGCCTATTGTACAGCGTGGTCTGATAAAGATGTGGGCTTGAAGAGACTAAATGTCTTTGAACAGCGGGGTGTCTCTACAGACAAACGTTTCCACAAGTACTGTTGTTCTCTTCAAAACAGCGACGGCCAAACTTTCCTAGCTTTCCCCCATTTTCTCTCCTATTTTCCTTTCTTTTATATCTTCTTTCCTTCCGAAAGAGTAGTTAACTGTTGTGTCCCTCTATGTATCAGTGGTTATGAATTATTATTATTATTATTATTATTATTATTATTATTATTATTATTATTATTATTATTATTATTTATTGAGTTTTTACGTTCCTAAACAAAAATATGATTATGAGAGGCGTATTTCAAGAAGGCTCCGGAAATTTTGACCATCTGGTTTTTATCGTACACTGACATCACCAGATGTCCCAAACAGTGAACTTGAACCTTTCGAATTGTATGTTCAAAAATTGTGGACGTAGATCTTTTTTTTTTCTCTTCACTTTTTTTACTCTTCTAAATGACGCCAAGCGTGCATTTTTTTTTTTCTGAAGCCGCATCACCACATTACGTGGGTCTCGACATGGGGCATTTTCCAGATTTGTCAATGTTTGTGGTCCTTCCACTTCGAAACTTCGCGGTCATCGACTTCAATGCTTTTTTGACACCCATACTGCCGATTATCTAGCCATGTTATACAAATATATTGTCTATATTATTTGTAGATTTTTTAAAAATAATCAAAATGGGTGCGGAAGTGAGCCTTGCTTCAGCTCAAAGCACACCGTGAGACATAATGTCGGTCGTCAATGGGTGATAATAAAATAGTGGCATTCTTCTTTAACCAAAAAGTGGATACTTGAGGTGTTCCGTGAAGTATTGAATTTTTCAGAATATTTTATCGCAACCTAGGTTTATCGCAACTACGGCAAAGCTTGCAACACTGCGATAGACATTTTACTTTCCGAGGGCTAATAGTGCACCGACATGAAAGTTCAAATTCTCTTACAATACAACTGGAGAGGGTCGAGCACAATGTTTGGAAAGTTTGGCGTGGAATGACCCATCTATATTGCCTCGGCTACTCCATGTCTGCAAGTAACTTCTGCAGCGTGTTTGTCAGCCTACAGAATGTGCCGGCGTCCGCGTCCAGTGACCCAGCACGAGACGTGGAGCTTACTCGAGCTTCACACACATACTCACGGCGAAGAAGTTGACGCCTAGGAAGACGAAGGCCGAGTACTCCCACCCGAGCATGAAGGGGTCATCTATGTGGAGGGGAAAGCAGAGGCCGTTGCTGGAGTAGAAGGCGCGCTGCTGCGGCCACTTGACCACGGGGAACACGGCCAACCCCAAACCCAGCAGCCAGACGATCGCCAAGCAGTAGCGCGCCGCTGTCACCGTCACGGCGCGCACGTTCGTCTGTGTTCACAGATGAGTGGAAGCGCGGTGAAAAAAAAATCGCAATGTTTATTCACATACTGTGACCTTACTACAAGCACAGCGACAAGAAGTTAAAGAAATGCGTTCACCTGGTGTAGAGGAAAATGGTGAAAAGCTAAGGCGAGAGCCGACAGACGTTGAAAGAGCAAGAGAAAGTGCCTCAAGCTGGCACGTCAACGTTTCGCTGGAGGCCGTACTTTGGTCAAAGGCACCTTTTCATTGTTAAGGCGGGATGATAAGGCACCTTTGACAATGGTAAGTGCCTCTGTCGAAACGTCGGGTCTATCGGAGGTGCAATCTCCGTTATTGATTGAGCAAGTTTGCTCGGTAGACTGTAGGAACGTCTACTCTCCTATCTTGTGCATGCAATAACCTGTAAAAATTATTGCATTTTTCCTTGTTCTTACGTATTTGCGATTACGAAAGTTAATCGCTGTGACGATACTCTCGATAACGTATCGAAGTAGAATGAACCATATTGAAGGAGAAGCTGGGCATCTGTTCAACTCAAACCAGAAAAGCATGTGACGTCAGGGGACAAAAAAAGCATGAGCAATGTATGTGGATAAAAGAAAATATGCTAAGCGTAGGTAACTCTACACTTATAAAACAGCACATTGTAGTTCGAAATTGCAGTAGCTGGACCAATCGCTTCGTAGACAAGGTTAAATTATATGCGTTCTTTTCTATTCATGTCATGCGGCACGTTGTTTCGGGTGTTCGAAATTATCTTAATTGGTTTTGAGCTCATAGAATGAAAATACAACGCATGTGTCACAAGACAATGTCACCGCAAACCCTGAAATGAAAGAATATGAGAGAGACGAAAGGCTCATGTTAACCAGTTTAGAAAACTTTTTGTACTACATACCGAGGAGGAATGAATAGGGCAGTTCGAAAACTATTGTTAGACAGTAAGTGAGAGAGAAGGCAGAGGTGGAGGGCGACACAAGCACACGATCCGTAAAACCTTCGTTTACTTGGGGGACTGCACGGCGGTGAGATGTATATATACCTTGATGCAGCGGTAGCGCTCGACCGTGATTAGGGAGAGGATGAGGACGGACACCTCGCAGGAGACCATGGCGAGGAGTCCGCACAGGGTGCAGTGCCAGGAGGACATCCACTGGTGGGCGTGCTTGTTGTACTCGTCGCGGAACGCTACGTCGAGCGAGCCCACGGTGACGAGGTAGACGCCCATGAGGAAGTCGGCCACGGACAGGTTCCGGATGAAGAGCGAGAGCACGCGGTCCTCCTTCTTGGAGAGCAGGCGCCACGCGAGCACGACGCTGTTGCCGGCGCACGTGGTCAGGGCGACCACCCAGACGGACAGCCGAAGCACGGGCCACACCAGCAGGTGCTCCGTGGACGAGAGACCGTCCGTCTTGGGCGCGCAGATGCGCACGTACGGCGCGTAACTGCAGTACTGGAACTTCTTGAAGTAACTGCACCGATCGAAACAGGCGGACACACGAAACACTCCTTCGCACATGAACGCGTGAGTCATCCTCACCGCCTCTAAGCATGTATTTTCATGTTTGTGAAGCTCTCCACACAACATGAGGCAGTCGCGCCATCGACTTGCAGAAAAAGGACGTGATGCAACTGTCCAGTTGCTTACAAGCAAATCAAGTACCAGGGGTGATGAACATGCACAAGAAGAAGCGATCACCCGTATTTCAAGACGTCTTTGCAACCTAAAGGCTCACGGCAACAATCAGGACAGTCTAAAGACTGCTTAATGTCCACTTGCTTGGCGCAGGGCTGGTACAGTGCCACCCCCTTACAACACAGGTAATTTTCAGGTGAGAAAAGGGCCCTATAATAATTTTCTTACACTGCCCTCTGCCATTCTCGTAGAGGGTAGGGATTTCTGGGATGCGGGACAACTGAATTTGCCCGAACAAAAGCCGCCGAGATCTAAAGGTGGGCGCGGACCGTACTGTTGGTTTTGTAGCCTTTCCGCCAGAGTAAGCCCGCATGTGCCATGACAGCGTGAGGAAAGCGTATTGCCGGCAACGAACGCCAAGCTCACTGCGCCTGCAGCCTGTTAAACATCCCCTCCCCCGCCTCTACACCCACCAGCTCCACGACCGTCATCCCCACCACTTTATTTCTACCATTTGGATACATTCAACTCGACTCACATGAACTCCAGCTTTGGCAAGTGCCGGAAATGTCGGATCTCGATGTTGTTAATTTCCACGCCGGATAGATTCCTGCAAGAAGAAGGCACTAGGCTTGCACATCGAATTTGACGACACTGGTTATATAGCTACTTACAGTGAGTTGAGGCTTCGAAGATTGTGGAATAGTGTGACTGGTAGAGTCTTGATGGCGTTGGCTGACAGGTCACTGTAAGCGGTTTCCTTTTACTTGTCAATTTCAAAGTATGAAAAACATGTTTTCACAGCACCAATTCACATTATAACGTCATGGTGACTCAACTTACATCTTCTTAAGGTTGCGGAGGCCATGGAACAAACCAGGACGTACGAACGTTAAGAAATTGACTGCGAGGTCTCTGTTTTAGAACAAAAGAAAAATTAAAGCGTTTTAGACATGCTTTCACTCATTATTTCTACGTATGCACTATTAAGCCTTCTAATAATAAGTTAAAACTAAGAATGGGAGGAGACGCTACAATACATCATTGCATAAGTCTATATTGCCGGCAGTGTTGTTATAATGCAGACTTTTTTAGATTAAAAAGAAAATATTTTTAGCCATTTAATCTACGATGCCACGTGGAAAAATCAAATGTTTTATCAAAATGTCGTTTTTGTTTTAAATATATCAAATGCACAGTTTATTTCCCGTCAGTTTGCTGTATAAAACTTCCATTGACGCCACCTCTTTCACAAGATGCAAGCGAAAATGTTAGACCATCCACCTTCTAGGAAAGCGAAACTGAAAGTGGCAGTTTTCTGTGACACACACAATTAGCTTGAGATATAGTATTTTGTAAGTTATTTAACTATCATATCACGTAAAAACATATCATAATGCTCTAAAATCATGAACACAATATTTTCAATAATGAAAATCATAAATTTCTCACTAGGTGAACGTGTAAAATGGTGCACGTTACTTTCATGCTCAAGGAGACGTAAATGGGCCTATAAAGCATGAAATTTCCTTTTTTTGTGACGTGTGATATTTTAGTATTGTAAACAGAAGCACATTTGATAATGCCAAGCGAATTTGGATGAAACCTGGCCGTTACACTGCAAAGGCTTGAATTACAAAGGATCAGCACCGCAGCGTGAAAGTGCTTTGTCGTGGCACTGCATGATGCCGCAAAGCAAGCTAAAAAAGTTTAAACATGCCGCTCGAGGAAAGGCACACAGTAGTAAGGTGCACGATGGAACTGAAAACAAATAACGAGAATTTTAGTCCCCCTGATCGTTTTGTGTAGACGCTACACCTGGTTCAAATCTTTTTTATTGATTTACTCAGAACTTGTATTTCTGGTATTTTTCGCACGTGAACAGTCCTGACTGTTTTGCTAATGAACATTTTTAATTAAAACTTGGCACACTTATCACTCTAGCAGGCATTTATGAACTTAAATAATCGAAATTGTGCCACAATATTTAATATGGCTGCCTGCTTTACGAAGGTACCCCTAGTGCGAGTGCATACTTTCTTAGTTATTCAATCATTATGTTTTTTTTTTTACATCAGATCTCATTCTTTTTCCTTCATTGCACAGGCCAATACATTGCTTATGTCCCTGCTTGACAAAATGAATTTTTCCGTCATTAGAACATGACTTTGGAGCGTTTGCACAAGGCATACATTATTTAATGTTTTTGAATATGAAAAGTTAACGAAACAAACGACTGGTTTTATAATGATTACATGTGTCTAAAAATATGTGCGTTACATTGCAGACGAATAATCTGTAATGATTATTGCTTTGTAATAAAAAGTTTCCGTCGCTTGGGCTCATACATAGAGAGAGTCGAAACCACGTCAGGCGCTCCGTTACATTGCGTAATCTTACTGATTGGTTTAATCTCTCGCTATCTCCTTTTAATCTTTCTCAACTATGTAAAAATACACCAAGCTTTTCATCTCATAATTAGGGGAGGGGAAGGCGAGGTTCTCCGCATTAATTTGCGCTCTTTTATTAGAACTGAAGCGTCCAAGAAGCAATTCATTATACTTCCTGATGCTTCCTTGAAATATTTATGGATAAAATAACATAGCTAATATGTTTCGTTTGATTAATTTAATTACTTTCCTTGCACTTGAATATGCAAAAACATATTTTCGAATGAAATATTTTTCAAGCAGCTTCTTTTCAAAGTTAATATATCAACTTACATTTCCAGCATCTTCGTGTTATACCGAAACGCCTCTTCATGAACATCCATCAAATGGTTTTCACGCAATATTCTGAAATCCGAAAGATCATAGACTAAATAAGAATCAAGCATCAGATAGAAAGAGACGAAGTGAGTTTTCATGTATCATGCTCTGCAGAGAGCAACAGCATCAAGTACGCGACCGCCTACACAAAGTAAAAATACGCAAAAGTGCAAAATAAAGGGTGAAACAGTGAGAACCATTGGGCGAAGTATATAGAGCACACAACGCTGGCCCGTATATTCTCTTCATGAGCCAACTAGCCCTCTGAAGAGCCTTTGCATTACAAGAACTGCTCTTTGAATTTTAAATCAGAATCCATCGCAACAAAAAAGAAAACGTAATTCCTGAATTTTCAAGCATACCTGAAGATAACTAAGATTAACCCAATCTTGTTATTTAACAAGTTTTTCCAAATCCACGCCTATCGCATTCATCTATAAACGAGCGCAGTTGATTGTTCAGTCGGCTAATGTACGCGAGTAGGGAAATAAGAGAACAGCTCTGTTCTATTAAGTGTAACTAAGCGCGAAGTTCACGTCTGCAGACAGGGCTTCATTTTCTCTACGCAAGGAGCAGCATGTGTAATAAGATGTCAGGTGATGCAAATTAAAGCAATACGTCATTTCTCATCAAAGAAAGAAAAAAAAGTCCTACGATGTTCTCCCACTCTTTTCTCAGGTAGCAGATTTCACGAAAAAAACTTAGCAAATCGGTAAAATACATATTTAAAGTAATAGTAACACTAACAGGAAAACACGGCTTTCGAAGTGTAAAATGCAAGCAACTTCTTTATTCTCGAGTATATTGACAGTCCCCTGCTGAGAATACAGGCCGTGAGAAAACAAATTCACGAGGGAAGATGGATATATTCAACATTTACCTTTATTTTTTTTTGCATACTTCAAAACCACGAACCGTCTTTTTTTTAGAGGTCATCAACCCCGCAGAAACGAGGTGAGCGTTTCTCTGAATTCTAGAAGTGTCTTGACGTTTTTTGCCCCTTCGGAGAAGGAGAGTGCCACAGAAAGAATTTTCAATACAACTCGATCTCATAGACGGTTAGATAGAAGTTAACCCTATACTGCGTATCGAATTCGCGACATACCGAAAAACTTCGGGCCATCAAGTCACGCAATGCGTGTCGCCTTTAATGCCGGCTGTCAAGTGCTCACGGGGAATGTGGCTTTCAGCATGAAAATTCTTGCGCCAACTGCTAGGTCTTTCGGTCCCAACGCGGGAGCGGCCCGCTTCAGGCAAGGACACTAGCACGACCTATTGGACCTCGGTAAAGTTCTTCCACCCATCCATAATCCATCTCGTGTAATGTATTTGACGCTAAAGCCAATTGTGTTGTATCTGATCGAAGAGAGCGCGAAGAACATGCAAGAGCACTCAGTTCGTTTTTTTTTTTTTTCCTCGTCTTGTTGACGCAAGTTCTATGATGAATCATTCTGTTTATTTGGTGTGTACGCGCTCAAGAGACCTAGCAAACGACACGTTGCGTAGTTCTGAAGTGCGTTTTTCACTGCAAGGTCCTCGCTTTTGTGACGTGTGGAGAATTTGCGACATAGCTAAAAGTGTACATTAAAGATGCAATCGAGATAATTTAACTGTGGAATCGTTTAAAGGTTGCTATGTAAAGCTGGAAAATAAAAACATTATTAAATTTTTTTCAGCAGTTTCATACTTATGGCATCAAAGGGTTAAGAAACAAAATATCATGCCAGAAAACACGACTGCCTCGTTACTGCTACATTATAAAGGGCATTTTAAGCATTTAATAAATATACTGCTTTAATGTGAAACATCATACCCGTTAAGTGGCGTTAAATGTGTTGCTTTTTTCTCGCCATCCCCAATTTACGCGTTCAAGCTGAAGTAAACACTTGATTGACTGATTGATTGACTGATGGATATTGTCACGTAAGAGTGAGGGTACCCCGAAGACGGGAGACCGGGATGCTCGTAGAAATAGAAGGAGATCCGTTTAGTTGGCGGACTTGCGCCCGCTAAAGGAAAGCAGACACATCGGCTTAGCGGGTGGCGAACAGCGTGTTCGACGGCCGTCGGGAAACATAATGTCCCACTGGATTGCAAGGCGCGTTCACCATCCGAGATACAGTCACCGTAGCATCTGGCGCCATCTCGTTATCAACGAATGGTCGACGTGCGGGCCACGAACTTCGCAGATGAATCGCGGTGCATCCTGGACCACGATAAGGCTGCGTGCCGGCGGTATCGGCATGCGCAACACTATCTGCAATGCGCTTCGCGGCAATATCGGCACATTTAGATATGTGTAATATATAGAGTTTAAAAGCAAGTACCAACTCGCGGGAGGTCGGAATAGTCAAATATTTTAGCGTAGACACTATATAATGATAACATTATTACTGCTTTATCACTAATATCAGCTAATACAGTGAATAATGAATCTCTCATATCACAGAAAGCTAAATCTACGCCCAAATTTAGCTTCTCTCCAAGTCATTGTTTCGTTTTATTCAGGTAATGCCCAGTATGCGTGCCTCAACCAAACTGAAGCGGCACTCTTCAGCCAACTGTTACCTGTTTATCACTTATCGCGCAATCCTGTCTTTGTGGATACGAGTGACATAGTATTCACGTTATTATACACAATGCCTAACGACAACAACAAAAAAAAACATTTCCTTACGTTTCCGCGCTATTGCTTTCAACTGTAGTGAATACTTACAGAGCTTCCAGGTTGAGAAGATTCTCAAATGTGTCGGCGTGTATCACCTCAATCTGGTTTCTCTTCAGATCTCTGAAACATAACAGTGAAGCACCAAGCGGTGAAGGAGAGTGTATCAGTTATTAGGGTGAAGTAGCTAACAACACGCGCTGACTGGGTGAATCACTATTGTTACGTACAGCCACGTGAGATATGCCAGCTCTGGAAAAGGTTTAGCTATCCTCTTCAGTCCATTTCCTTCCATGTTGCTATGTAAAGACGAAAAAAGCAAGAAAAGATTTATAATAAAGGAATGCAATCAAATAGTGTAGCGAAAACGAGCGATCTTGTTAATTATAATCGGGAGGAGATACTCACAGAATCTCGAGCGAACGCAGGTCTTCGAACACGTCAATGTCGAGCGCTTCGAGGCGGTTGTACTTTAGCGTCCTGTGAGACGAAAACGGAGTACATATTGATTCACATTTTTCAGCCCGTCAGCCCACAGTGGCTTCACTTTTTAACTTACAGCCAGACTAAGTTGTAGAGGCCGCCAAAAGAATTCGTGTCTATTCGAGAAATGTTATTGTTTTCAATCGTCCTGCAAAAGAGCAACAATATTTGAATCAACCACCCTTGCACACTCAGAATCAAGAGAGCTATATTGCAGTTTTTATATTCCTTAAAGTTACACACAATGCTATGAAATAAAATTCAGCATCATTTTTTTTTGCGTTCGCAGTTGCCCACCACAATATAAATAGGTTTTTTATCAAATGAGCAAAGCCTCCACGAGGAATTCGACGCTAACTTGTCGCAGAGTCATCACCCCCAATAAAGTTTAACCGGGTCAAACTAATGACTGCAACCAGTGTTTCTTTGACAGGTGGTCAAAGCTTTTGCATCATACTCAAAGCTTCGGCCATCAAAGCTTGTACACGTGTAACTTCGCCACAAGACCTCTCAATCAACCTGGATGCCCCAGCTAGAATGATATCAACACCTGCCACATGGCTCAAATAGTTTAAAAAGCTATCGCACTGTTGCGTGATTTCAGAAGCATACTTTGGCAAGTTTGAGCTATTTTGTTTTTGCTCTTCTGGCTTCATTCATATAGCGCCAGTGGCGACAAATTGGAAACGTTTGACTGTAACGTCAACCGTACATTTTCAAATAAATATTGTTAAATATGTGAAACTAGAGCGTGCAGCTTCTCGTACTTCAAGCATTGATTTTTGTTATTCTAGGCGTCAAATTGAGAGAAGATCATCGCTTCGGACGCGCATTTTTTTCCAGCAGAAGACCTCAAAGCACTTTTAATGGTTGTAACTCATTGCCAAACTTCTAAAAAAATCGTAACATGCAGCCTACAAAAAAAAGCAAAAGAAACCGCTTGGCTAGGGGATGAAGGAATAGTGGCGTACCCTCGCGTTATCGTGAAGATAAAAGCACCAAATAATTAGCGATCACAAAATAATAAATCGTAATGAATTCCTGGCATCTATAAGCTACGCAAAGGTTTTTAAGATTTAGGACGGAAGACAACGTTACATGATTCGTAGCATGTCAAGCCCATGAAACGCTCCAGGTTGTATACCAGTAATAGAGTTCACAATCATCCTGCAATAGAACGAGCATTTTAGTTCACTTCGCAGACTGGTGGTCTGTAAGGGATAATGCCTACACTTCTCGGCAGGCTCATATACTCACAGGCTCGTTAAATTCATGTAGCCGTAGAATGCGTTAGGAGGTAGAATTCCCATGGTGTTGTTTGTAAACGTACTGAAAACAAGACAAGGTAACTATCAGCATTCAGCCGTTAATTGCCTCAAGTGGTGGTACCACAACCGTCATCGGTCGTGAAGGTAAAAGGGTTCCTTTAAAGTGTGTTTTCATTCAAACATTTATTGAGTGTTACCGAAAAGTGGCTGAAGTTGCAACACGACAACAACAGTAGTTCCGGCCAACTAAATTGACAGTTAGTGCGTAAGAACGTCTTCACAAGGTATATACGCTGTAGCAACAGAATACGAATACAATACCAACAATAGAAATATATACAGCGGTGTGGTTGCACATGATACTAAAACAAAAAGAGAATAGCAGTTAGATGCTTGCCGCTTGTAAAATGCACAAATACTAATAAAAAACAAATTAACCCAAGTAAATTTTTGTAAGGTGATGTGGCAGTGTTACGGTTGCCTTGTCAGGAGAAGTCAGAGAAGCCTATGCAATTCCTTTTCTTTAGGTATCCGTGTGCACTGCGTGTTTCTAGAGTTGTGACCTATCAATAAACCACAATGCCTCCAACAAAATGTAAAAGATCAGTGTATCTGTTTAAATGCCATTCTTCAGCTGTTATATAAGGGTTCAGAACACCGAAGATTGACTATGAATACATCATTTTAACAAAGGCTTTGTTTCCATCACTTCGTTCTCTGAAGACAAGAACCTTTGTCTCCCACACTATTTCCCATTTCATGGCTGTTACTGACTTTGACCCCGTGAAGTGAAACTAACTTTATTTGGTCCTGGAGAACTGGTCAGACACTACCATAAGAGAGGTCCGCCGCAGTTGCTGGCCGCGTCCACGCCGGGACTGGAAGACCGTGGCCTTCTGCCCGTTCGCAGGCCTCTTGGACTGCCGAGTACTGGACTGAGAGCTCGGAGCTTTTAAGAGCTCTCTCCCAGTCTAGTTCTGTACTGAACTTTGCGCCATGTAACGCCGGTTACTGCCAGAGCATGTGAGCGAGTGTCCAGTTATGTGCCTCACAACTAGGGCATCCTTGAGTTATGCCATCATAAAAGTGACCTAATGTACTAGGAGACAGGAATGAACCAGCCTGTAGCATTCGAAGACCCGACGACTGCGGCCGAGAAAGCTTAGAATGTTGAAGCGGGTACCTCCGCCTAGACAACTGATACTTCAACCCCGTGTCGTACGGTGAATCCGTGAGGTTTTTAGTCCCGATATATATATATATTGTAGGCATCTATTATGCGCTTCATCCTCATCTGAACAGCAGTCAATCATCATCATATGTTCTGGCTGACAATCATCATCTGCTTGGCACGAGCGCTTCTTTGTCGGGTCCGTTGCGCTTGTTCGTTCCCGAGTTCACGGCCAATAAACCTCGCTACAACCGAGTCGTCATACGAAGATCGGATACGATCGAAGATCGGAGGGTCACGCTGGTGGTTTACGATGTAAAGAGGAGGGGCTTGCGGCGCAGTGACGGCTTGCGGCGCAGAGACGGCTTGCGGCGCAGAGACGGGAGCCGAAAGGGCATCCACCCACTCACTCTGAGACATGTTGGCGGACTGAGGGTCCAAGCGGCGGCCTGAACGGAGCTCCAGCGAGTAGGCGTTGTAAGTAGAGGTACTGGGAACGTCAATCCACCTCCACCACGTATGACGACTCGGTTGTAGCGAGGTTTATTGGCCGTGAACTCGGGAACGAAACAAGCGCAAACGGACCCGACAAAGAAGCGCTCGTGCCAAGCAGATGATGATTGTCAGCCAGAACATATGATGATGATTGACTGCTGTTCAGATGAGGATGAAGCGCATAATAGATGCCTACAATATATATATATATATATATATATATATATATATATATATATATATATATATATATATATATATATATATAGGAAAGTGGCTGAGGGAATGCTTGAAGCAGATCCCTTTACAACGTAGTACGTTGTTGCAAAAAGCTTACAGGATCCCTTGCGCAATCACTCAAGACGACTCGTAATCGAACGCCGTCTTGTTTCTCCTCAGTCCATGTACTGACGCTGCCCCGCAACACTTGGAAAGCTCTCTTCACCTAACGTGCCTTTCCACTGCCTCCAGGATTGGGGCACTTGACCTGGTTTTGCATCGGCTAGCCTTACTGGATAGATGCTTCTGCACAAGCTGTGTGATGTGTCATCTCTTCATCTCTCTTTTCTCCTCCTTTCAATCTGCCCCTCTTTTTTCCACGTGCAGGGTAGCATGCAGTTTATCCTAGACTATCTGACATCCCTGCCTTTCCTTCTCTACCATTTTTTCTCTCCCTCTGATGGGGCCCCCTTTAAAGAAACTACGTGGTCACGTTATGACTTCATCATATGACGTGACGTCACGTGAAGTTTCAGTGTCGTCCTGATGTCATTAAGGTGAAGTCACAAGCTTTGACAATCTGTGACGTCATGTGGTGGTTTCTCGCGCGTTTATCATTTTTTCCATCACTCCTGCCTGACACCACTGACGGGCGAATTTCGCTTTAAATGAGGCATCTAAGACTTTCACCTCAATTTATTTTGAACTTTAATAACATCTTAGATTTTACATCCCAGAATTATGATGTGATTACTAGGGACGCCGTAGTGGAGGGCTCCGGAAATTTCCACCAACTGCTGTTCTTTAACGCGCACTAACTTCGCACAGTACAGAAGCTTCTTCTATTCTCCCGAAATGAAACCACCAGGACCGGGATCAAGCCAGCGACTTTTGGATCAGAATCCGAGCAACGTAACCACTGATCCACCATGACGGACTAAGTACCAAAGGTTTGTCAGTACTACCTGGAACGTTATGTTTGGCGCAGCATGCAGCGATGTGAAAATTCGTCAGAATATTTACCAGGACGTGAACTCTTGGTTCTTGCAATCAGTGACAGAGAGTGTGTTTACGTGGAAACATCAATCAACTGACACACTCTAGGAGTTTTTGACGTCAATAAAATGAGGAAACGCTACTGGATGGAGCATTTAAGAAAATTCTCCGTGGGAGGGTAAGCAAGGGCCTCGGGTGGAGCTGACATTTTTACTTTGGTCGCAACTAAACTATTTGAATTCGTGAGAATTGTTTTAGCAGTTCCTTGTCATCAGTTATTTACGGTTGGGGAGCGCTGTTTTGCTCGGGCAGTACAACTTCTCGCATGCGATGCACGTTTTTCCGGGGACAGTGGCCCCTATACGACCGGCAGTAGGGCAGCCTTCTGCAATTTTCCGAACATCGGTGCGCCCGAGTGGAACAAATGGCACAGATTCTTTTCTTCCAAGGTCAGATCAGTCGCAACAACGAACTTCGTGCCCGGCGCAGCACCCACATAAAACGGTTCTTCGTGAAGCTCCGATAAAAAATAACGGCGCAACGCGCAACATTAAAAGTTCAAAACTAAAACCCTCCAAATAAAAACGACAGAGATACCGAAGTTCTCTAAGCTGCTTTCGTGGGTAGCTTGCAACATATATCACTTTTTTTTTCGCAGGTGTGAACGCGAGCTGCACACTAGTGTGACAATGAGGCTCAGAAATAAATAAAATAAAATACGTGCTACGCTTTCTTTGGATATTATGCGTTGTCAAATGCCAACCGTTCCACGGCCCTCATCGTAAAGCTAGCAGTATTGCAAGTAAACAAATACCACCGTTTAACCGCGCGTCATGTTCTACATATTGGGCCAAACCCTTCGCCATTATCTTGCAGAATGTATTCGCAAGGTAAAAGATGAGGTGTCGGTGAGTGTACGTGATCAGCACAATATTGAAGCGAAATTTGGCATTACCATGTAGATAATTGCCTAGGGCAAAGGTCGGCAAGCTTTTGAGGTGAAGGGCCAAGTTGCATGCAGCCGACGCAGCCGGGCGGGGGCCGCATAAAAAAAATGGGGGTGGGGCATATGCTGGCAAAGTGTGAAAATTCGGTGAATGAACACTATCTTGTAAAACTGGAATAAAAATTATGTTTACTTTCGGCACACATATCGCAAAGCTTGCAATAAAACATGGGTTAGAAGCGAAGATCTCGTTTTTGGTCAAAACTGTCACGTTGGCATATGAGATAGGCAGGCAAGGCTAAAAGGGGAAGGGGAATTTTACGCAGTGACGTGGGTCGCATAATACTGCCACGTGGGCCACATGTGGCCGGCTGGCTTTATAGGTGGCGACTCCTGCACTAGGAAAAGGACATATTCCAGATTATCACATGCGTGTTTCTCAGCGCTACGAGTATCCATCCATAATATCATACATAACGATTAAATATGGTGTGTTAAAAATATAGCTAAACCGCAATGTAGTAGATGATAGATGAAATAAAACGAGCGTTTGGGGAAAATACTACTAGGGAAATAGAGTGAGCTCCTCGAATCGTTAAGAAATGTGTACCTCTACCTGAAACAATTCATGCGAACATGAAAAAAATCTTACAGACGGGTCACGTCAGGAATCGCCCTTGGGACTTGGGTGAGGTTCGAATTGAGGCAGAACACTCTGCTCTTTGAGTGGAGATCACAGTAACAAGCCTTTGGTACATCTGTGCGATCTGCAAGGAAGCAATTCAAAACGTTCAGCATGATAGTAAGTGGTTTATGCATACATTAACATAGACTGAGAATTGGCTCATTGCAGACATGGTCAGAAAGCAACGCAGCAGATATTTTATCTACTCCGTGGCTGTCACCTGCTACTACAATACATTACACCATGCGGGCTTCCAAAAGGTTCTTATTGGTATGTGTAGAGTATGCTTTGTTCTTCTGTTATCATTGAAACTTAGGGATTTTTCACCTTTATATTTTTTACTGAGATAACGCAAAAACATATGAACATTAGTCATGTTGCTCTAATTTTGATACAATTCAACTATAGTTTAGTTCGAACCAGGTAACAGTGTCGTCATAGCAAACGGACTGAGAGTTGATTTATCACCATCGTGACCATAGACATTAAGACAGACGTGGTTCATTCCAATTTCGGAGTTTTAATTTTATGTTCTGGTGGGGTTGCTTGCATGTTTGCATATTTGTGTTGGCGTATTCTTTTTCGTGTTTTACTATTTGTATATTTATCGCGTTGTATGCTAGATTCAATAAAAAAAACTAAGTAGTAGCCCGTGCCTTATTTCTGTACCAACATATATGTTTGTATTCACATCAATAAAAATAAAGTGTAAGACATGATGGGTGCCACTGATAATTGTCTAAACTAGACACCTTTAATAAAAATAATTCAATTTTCTTGTTTGTCACGTGCACATTCCGGCTAATGAGAACAAGTCGCTTCAGAACTCTTGTGAGCTCTTTGTTTTCTTATCGCGTTATATTATGATCAAACGTAACTAATAACGCTTCGTAATCCACACGTAAACATAGTTGTGTGGATATTGGGGTATACCTAGTGTCAGTGATCGCTGAAGTACTCCGTGAGTTGGCAATCTACTGAGCCCAGTGTACGCAAAGCAACCGAGTTTTCTGAACTAAGGACTCAATCGCAATGTGTTAAAAGAATAAATAAATAAATAAATAATTAGTTATTTAGTTAATTAATTAATTATTTAAATAATTAATTAATTAATTAACCGATAAGAGAGAGTGGGTGCCTTACTACAGGAGAACCGAGGGGACGAGTCCTGTGTTCTACTGACATTGTGCGTACTCCAGTTGAACAGGACGCCTAGAACCGCTGAGAGGCCTCCGTGCAGGTCAGCTGAAATCAAGAGACAATGGAATGGTTACACTTGTCTACGCAACACGCTTATTGATCAACAAGTTGTTTTGTCCTGTAAAACTTATCCGGATTCCTTCATTCATTCATTAATTCATTCGTTCACTCAGTCATTAATTAATAATTAATTAATTAATTCTTTCTCTTCTTTCAGTTTTTTTCTTATCAGTTTCCTTTTGTTTAGGTTAGCAGATACGACGTCCATTTTTACCTTTCACAGTCTGTTCGACTGTTAAATGAATATTCTCGTACCTCAAGCAGAACTCATCTCAAGAGTGACAACTAGCCTTCCAAACACAAACGAACAATAAAACTGTGTGTCGGCGTCTTCTAAGAAAGCTGCTCATGCATCGGGCATCAAGAGGTCTGTAGCGCTCGAGCGAGAGGGCCACATGCATCTAATAACGATTCTTAACAAAGCTTGCCCAATGATTCTTAAAACGCTGAAAATATAACAACGTAACTTCGCGTACACCATGTTGGAACACCAACAAGTCTAAAAGTACGGCCTCTGATACACTCAAACACGTGTTCGCACGCCCATTAGTGGCGGAGCAAGGCCAATTGGAACTCGATCAAGGCCACTTCGCGTGTAGTGCCAACGATCGGAAAGGTCGCCGGCGTGGTGGCCTTTCGTGTCGAACCTTTTGTCTTCTGCCGCAACGTCTCGGAAAGAGGAGGAGGATCGGGGGCGCGAAGAGCATCTTGGCAAGTTAGTGGTCGCAACCGGCATTAGAAATGGCAGACCAGGGCGCATCGTGATATACGACGGAGGGACGCCCTCGACAGACCACAATGAAGCCTCGCGGCTAGCCGTCATACCAGGCGGCAGCTCGAAAGATAGCGGGCCATGGGAGGGAGAATGAGCGAAGTAGCTCTCGCACGCGATTCGACCGATAGACTGGCTGCGATCCATCTTTAAGCCTCTGCCAGCTATCGCGGTATACACCGAAATACGCGCGGACGAGGCGAAGCCGTGATGAATCGCTCTGCGCCGATACGTCCACAGCTCAAACCCAAAGGCGTTCTCTCACTCCCTCTCCCTCGCGTGCCTGGCGTGCTACATGGCAAGTGCGAGCTTTCGTTCGGTCACTCCGGTCGCCACGGCGCCGATCGTGCGAGAGTCCACGATCGAGTACCACTGCGGCTCCGGACAGTCGCGGCGGTGGGCATGTGTTGTTCGCCTCTGCTGCGCGGCGACTCATCAATCTATGGCCCGGCGATTTCTGCATCTGTTTTGCGGCACCAACAGCGGCCGGCGATCGCAAAAGATGTGGCGCGCCGGTCATTACATCGGCAAGCGCGTTCACTTAGATCAGCCCTCGTAATGAAAAGCAGCCTTCCCCCGGTTATAGTAGGGTCCTGTTGAGCAAGTCAAATATCGCTTATACCATACTTATCGGCTTTTTTTATTTTTGCGCCAATTAGAGCAACAGTTTAAGATATACGTACTCAATCAAGTAATGCGAAGTCCTGCAGCATTATTTTTTTCTTGCTTCGTGCATGTAATACCTTGAGATGATGCGGAGGTACCGCCTTTATTATCTCATCCTATACTGGGGAGTGTAAAAGTGTGTAGGGGCGTGGAACTTGTTTTCGCGTACCAGAGTCACCAAACCAAAGCACATCCATGGATTTTATGTGTATATCTTCTCTAAACACAATACATACTTCGAGTACACACTTGTCTCGCCCTTTCACACCCCCTCTTCAAGCAGGACGAAGTATGCACTGGGCGAATTGGCATGATTCATTCTGGCTAACAGAATGAATCATACCAATTCGCCCAGTATAGTGATTGATATCTAGGGTTTACTGACCCAAAACCACCATATGATTATGAGAGACGCCGTAGTGGAGGGCTCCGGAACTTTCGACCACCTGGGGTTTTTTAACGTGCACCCAAATCTGAGCACACGAGCCTAGAGTATTTTCACCTCCATCTGATATGCAGCCGCCTCAGCTGGGATTCGATCTCATGACCTGCGGCTCAGCAGCTGAGTAGCTTATCCACTAAACCACCACAGCGGGTCTAACAGCCTACTAACAGGAACGAAAAGAAGGGGGGACACGGCTTAGAGCTGACTTTCGACAGCAGTTTTATAGCAACTCTTCCCGCTCAGCAATGCGCGTGTTAAACTACCTGTATAGAAACAAAACAAAAGTCTTTATCATTTGGGTCACAACTTTCGGAGTGTGTAACTTCAATAGAACATGCCGTATGATGATTCACTTGAACCTGAAACTCGACCCTGAATCACAAGCAATTAGGCAAGAATCAAGATGTCTATGTGTAGACAAGCTTTTGATGATTGAAGCAAGAAAATACAATTACCTTAAAGCTTCTCAACTTAACGAGGTCAGTTTTTCTCATTAGATTTCTGTTATTTGGCGTCAAATACCACTCCCTCCACTTAAGCCCTTCAGTTAAAGAAAATGAGTTCAAGTAAGAGTTATGTCCACTCATTTAGAACATAAAATCTACGCTATGTAAAACTAAGAGTAAAAAGATCTTACTTCTAACCACTTTTTGACACCGTTAACAGTTTATAAGCTTCGTCGTAGCTTATTCTAAGCGCGACTTATCGTTTATTTTATTTATTTATTATTTTCTTTTTTTTTTGCTAGCCTCGTTCGAGTTTCTCTACATTGCCACTGAATAAAGCACTGCGCTTGCAGCATAAAGCGCTCACAATTTCTTCGCATGTCGGCAAAAATGGAGGTTATTTCGGAAACGTACGAGTCAATATTTGCCAAGAAGGTTGTTTCTGTATTATATGGTGCTTTTTCTGAGCATGCTTCAATTGGCGACCTGATTCACCATGTCGGTCTGAATAGAGTGCTTAGGCCCGAAAAATTGAATGTTCACCCAAGCGTATGGCCAGACAGCATGAAATCGTATCATCGAAGTTGATGGAAATACAAGTCATAGAAATGGTCCGACCCACACGAGCGCTTTCGCCGGCCGTGTTTTCAGAAGTGATGATATCCTCTACTTTTATTGGTTTTTGATGTTAAGGGCTGGTCGCTGGGCTGCCAACTTCAGGGAGAGGTGACATATGGTGTTCTATAGATAATGCTGGGCTTCCTGAATTGCTGACAGGGTTCATAGTCTCGAAGTGACCTGTCCTCTTTTCAAGAACCTAAATGTCAGACGTATCGCTGGGTGCGCATATTTGGAAAGTACGTGGTCGACAACCCACTTATCTTCGCTCAATAAAAACGGCTCATTGCATCAACATATTCACTGAAACTGACCTGTTTAAAGAGAGTGAGTTTAACCAGGGAAGCGGAATGGAGTCACCGTTGATGTTCAGCGTCTCGGAAAAAAGCGCAACTCACGTTTTATAGTGTCGAACAAAAATCGCCAGGTCAACAGGCTGAAGAAAGCCACGTTTACCTGCAATAACTTCTCCTTGTGGCTGTGCACCTATGTGAGCATCAAGTAGCTGTGGCCATGGCATGTCCATCGTATCATCACTCGTACAGATAGGTATTGCTTCACTCAACGCTCATATCGCATTGTTTGACGTATGGTTTTTATTTTACTTTTATCAGACTCTATATAACATATGTTGATGCAATTCTATGCCCGAGATGACATCTGTACACTGTGTAAGCTCACTAACCCAGCCACTAAAGAGCTAGAAAGGTGCCAGAAAAAGCATCAAGATCTTGTGGTACCATGCGCAGAATGCGTGGTGCACAGTTTACCACTGACCTGTGGCGGGAAATGCATCGCTCAAGGAGGCCGATGTATCAGTGATCGTTTGCAGGAGCGTTGCTTGATACAAAGATGGGCATCTGCCCACACGTTGCAATGACTATGGTTGTTCACCCTATTTATTCAAAATGTATCACAATCCACCGCCAAAAAATGAGTGCATTCGAGAAATCATCGAAGCAAAGACCACAATCATTGAAGGGGCGAAATGTGTCAGCATACCATCGATAGTGTTGTCAGAGAATAAAATGGTGTTTTTGAATACGTCAGTGCGCTGAAATTGTCAGGTGGCCAAATGATGAGAGATGTATATACGTAGGGCAGATGTTCAATAAGAGACAGTTGCTAGAGCACTGCCTAGCGTGTGCCAGTGAGCCTTCCTTTAGGCGACGTCCTTTAGTGCTACCTTAGAAATATGAATTTCCAACTCACACAAGAGACGAAACCTGTTCCTGATGTGATCTCATAACAGTGTTTATTTCAGAATTGACAGAGTGAATATACCGAACTTATTGAGTCATTTATAGGTTCTTTACGGTACGATGTGTTGCTCTGAGTAATTGGAATACCATCATTCAGACATAAATTAAACGACGTTCATTAAACATCTTCATTCGAAGATGATTTGTTTGCGATGACCAGTAAGGCTAATAAGGACAACATCAAGGTTGGGACGTGTCCTTTAGGACTATACCATATATTTGCCCATGCAAGCACAGGTTTGTGTACATCTATTCATTAGTATTCGATACTCGTTGACGTCCAAGTCATCAAAGAAGGCAGTGTTTAGTACATAGTTAAAAACGTTACTGTTTTCATGAAAACCATTATCAGAACGCCTATAATGAGCATTTCACTCGTGAGGCAGAATAAGCGCTCCAGCTTTGCACACTGGTATGCTAATAAATAGTTCACCAAATGTGTTCGAACCTGTACACCTTCCGCATTCTATGAGACCGACGATGCTTCGAGGGAAATACAGGCTTCATTGGTCACTCGTCGAACAAAGCCTGTTCAAAGAACACGTGACGCAGTATTGGACTCAGCGCGTTGTTATTTATAGCCATTGAAAGTGTATCAAACGCTATGCGAAAGTTACAGCGACACGACTGTTCCGTGAAAACGGACTTGCTTGCTGGATTTCGTGCCGACTGGTTGTTCCCCCGCGATCTCCGACGACAGCCCAGTTCTGGCCGACTGGGCTCGCCCACGCCACCTCCTGACGCCGACAAGAGCTCTCGCCGAGTGGTGCCCCGTCCTCAGACTCCTGCGACAATATCCATCTTTCTTATCTCGTCCTTACTTCCGCCGTTTTCTGTCGTTCGCTGTCCATGCGCCCCGCTCTCTCCTTCCTGTCTATCTATTTACCTTTTAATCCTATCCTTTCATTTACTTTTTAATCCTATCCTTTTAATTCCTCCTTTATCCCCATCCCTCGTGAGCTATTGTTGAGGTGTCCTCCCCCTGAGAGACAGTTACGGGGCTCACTTTCCTCTTCTTTTCATTTAAAAATCACTCACTCCGGGAAAACACGAGAACATCACCTAATGTTCTGCCGTGTCGAGAACGCCTCTTTCAAGGAGGCGCGTCAAGAAGCCACGTTAGTAAAAACCGCGTTAGTGAAAACCGCTGCGTTCTCCGAGCTTACTATCTCGGAGAATGCAGCAGAAGTCCGAAGCTATAAGAGGTAGAAATAGAAGCGACCATCGAAGCTATATTGCCGATGGCTGGACTGAAAGAGAAAGAAACGTCCGCTGCGTCGTGTCTTGTGAAGCTATAAGCGAGGCCTTCGTCTTCGATGCTCGGTCTAATCAAACGTCACATTACGGGCTACAGCATCTCGAGACACTAGTTCGATGAGACGCCACATGCAAGGGGCAGGGCGTGTTTGCCTTCGTAAAGACAAACTAGTTGCAAATAGGGACCAGGTAGTTACACTTTGAGACACGAAAAACACGGCAAGAGGCAGCGGACCATGCTCATTCACAGGTCGCAAGACAGTCGAAGACGAGGGACAGTTAGGTTCCGTGCCATACGTGCTCCTATGTCGCTTTCTTTCACTCATCCTAAGAGATGAAGCCACCATTGCGAGTATACTAGCCGTTTTTTTTTTTGGATGGTCACTTGACAATGATTGCCGTTTCGTATTTCGGCAACGTGAGCTCGTTTCAAGAGTAAGTGCGTTTTCGAGATTGATGGGCCTTCTCACAGACAACGAAAGGCCCCTGGCTTAAAATGTATCCGGTTGCATCCACCTCTATTTCTCCACGTCAGATTCTTTTCACACCGTCGATAAATTCCTATAGTGTGAGCATGCATTTTTGTCTTCATGTGTATCCGCCTGGAGTGTGCGTGTGCTTGGAATTTATCAAAAAAAAAGACTACTCGCGATAAGTGCTAGAGATTATGCAAGCACAGTGCCCCTCGATAGATGTATTTTGACCCATGGACAATATATGTATGCTTCATGGTTCACATTGCACGTGAAGGCGTGTAATTATTGGAGATGCAGTGCAATTTTCATGTTACTTCTCGGCTGACCTGAGAAGTATCAAAACAAAAGCTAATATGCCCCTTAAACTCAGAAATAGTTGAGGTAGCTAAGCCGTTTAACAAGCTGTACCTTTTAAAAGCCATTAGTGTGACCCCCCGCTCTTCCTTACATAGAGTATCCTTCACTTTCGTTAGTCAGTCGATGTCTCTTGCCAAGTGCGTACATCAACTCTGATGATGTTGTAATAAAAAAATGTATCTTCTATTCCGACTAATAGTTCTAGTTTTTTTTCGAACTGCTGCTATAGTTACATCACGTAAGCTGTATGCTTTTACCAGGATTAAGCAAACGTTGTTAAACATTGCAGGCAAAAATTGTGTTTTGCCACATAACAGCGAGGCTGTCTTCCAATGTTGTGCGTGTGCATTCCAAAAAATACACATGATGGCAAAACAAAAGCAAGAAACCTTCATCTGACCCGCCAATTTAGTGACAAGCCATACATACATACATACATACATACATACATACATACATACATACATACATACATACATACATACATACATACATACATACATACATACATACATACGTACGTACGTACGTACATGCATGCATGCATACATACATACATACATACATACATACATACATACATACATACATACATACATACATACATACATACATACATACATACATACATACATACATACATACATACATACATACATACATACATACATACATACATACATACATACATACATACATACATACATAAAATCGCTAGTTTTTTTAATCAAGACTTACTGCAGTCCTTTTCGTCTTCGCCTTCTCTGCAGTCTGGAAAACCATCGCAGTGAAGCCGCCTCGGAAGGCACTCCGAGGAGCTGTTTCCGCACGGTACTTGTCCAGGCGGGCAGCTCGATCCGGCCTCCATATCATCGGGTCCAGAGTCGGTCGCTGTGAGAGAGAAATAAATAAAAGGAAGAGACAATGAGGTTATCCTAGAAGAACGGGCTTGCTATCCTGTAAAGGGATGGGGAAATGAGAGTCAGAAAGAGGATAGAGATAGAGAGATATAAAATAAATGAGAAAAGAAAATTGGCCCCGTATCTGCGTGTCACTCTGCAAATGTCATCTAAAGATGATAATCTCGCGTCTAGAGAGAGTGAACAAAACGTTTATTTGGTGTTCTGCGCAAGAAAATTGGTGAATAGTATTTTGGAGGCGCTGCTTTAGAGAGCCTCGAGCGTGCAGCGGCGGTGAACGAGCGCTTCAAGTCATTTCACACGTGAGACATGAGCGCCATCTGGCCGTTATCTTGGAAAACGAAGCACGTGGCGTGCGCGTTCGTCTTGGAAGCGAGCGATAAGGTGCAGAACGCAAGGCGACGGGTAGGCGCCACCACTGTGTGATCTTAGCAAAGCGTTGGAAAAACTTTCCTTTTCGTGCAAGCGTTGCATTGTCAGCGCAGCGTAATAACCGCTACGGTCCTTAGAATTACTTATGTATGCCTTTTCTAGTAGAAAGACACACATACAGAATATTGTCGTGCTGTTATGGTGCCTCAGATATGCGCATTAATTGCTTTTCAATTGGCAATCGCGCAAGTATGAACGCTGAACCTTGAGCAATGCTGGTGGGCGCTGCGGGTGGGCTCGGTCATTTGGGGTATCTTTTGGTGCCGTTTCGGGTATTGTTAGGGGGGCTGGCAAACAGACTACTTACAGACAGGCAGACAGACAGATCAAAATCTTTGTGTTGAAGGTCCCCAAGAAGCAATATCGTCTTTAAAAATTCACATTCACACGCATGCTGGGCCTTCCGATCAGTCATTTAGAAAGGCCGGTTGAACGCAAGAAGCGCAGGAGTGCCTTCACAGCCTTCTTCTGCGACATAAAGTCCTGTCGGTAGAGCAGAATTCTTTCTTCCGAAAGAGTCTGGTTGTCCAGTTCGTCAAGTGCATTGCAGAGTGACTGTCTCTGCGAGCAATATTGTGGGCATTCGCACAGAATATGCCAAGTTGTTTCGTCACTGCCACAATGGTCACTTGCAGTGTTGGCCATTCCTATGTAGAACGCGTACGCATTGGTAAATGCGACACCCAACCATAATCTGCGCAGCGTTGTAGTGTCTCGTCGGCAAATTTGTGGAGGAATTAGAAGACTGAGGGTTGGGTCTAAGGTGCATAATCGTGCGTGGGTGAGATGTGACTCGTTCCATTGTGACGTGGTGCGCTTGCAAGCAAGCATGTGGAGCTTTCATTCCGCGTCAGTTCTGGAGAGCGGAATTGATATTTGATTGCTTCCAGTATGGGCAGAACGGGCAACTCGATCGGCCTGTTCATTGCCAATTATTCCACAATGACTTCGAAGTCATTGAAAGGCTATTTCATGTTCTTTCTCAAATAAATGGTGAGTCTTTTCTGCAATCTCTAGCACCAGTTGTTCGTACGGGCCGCGGCGTAAAGGTGGTAGAAGAGATTACAGCGCCACCTTAGAGTCACTGAAAATTGTCCATTTTTGTGGCAGTTGATCACTAATGAATCGCAATGTGGCACGAAGAGCTGTGAGCTCCGCTCCTGTTTGATGTCGTAAGGCGGGAGGTCCTAAATTTGCTTGTTGTGGCGTTTATTGGTATAACAAAACATTCCATTCAACTGTTCTGTAAAACGGTGCCGTCGGTGTATAGGTGTATACAGCCTTGGTACGTCTCGTATAACAAGAGTAGAGCAAGCTGCTTAAGAGCAGGCGACGACATATCTACAGATCTACGACATATCTATGCCAGATATTGTTAGCTTGGTGTTAACCAGATTCAGGCACCAAGGAGGAGTCGAAGGCCTGGCAGCGGGTGTGAAGTATGTTGGCAAAACGTCGCGATACACGGTTAGCGTTTGACAAAAAGATGAGCGTGGCCTGTCTGCTGGTAAATAGGCTAGGTGGTGGCAGGTTGTCCGAGCAATATGCCTTATATGTGTCCTGAGTGTCTCAACGTCAATATGTGTCGCGACTAGGTGGTCACCAGCGATTGCTATAGAAGCCATTGTCAACGCACTACCAGACAAGCCGAGGAAATTCTGGAGTACCTGGGCCTGAACACTTTGTAACGTTCGTAGGCTTGTTTTGCTTGCATTAGTCAATGCCGGTAAGCTGTAGCGCAGGAAACCGAGAAAAATTACCCTGTATAGCTGTAGCATTGCACTGGTTGACATTCCCCAAGTCTGCTCTGCAAAAAACTTTAGTAGATTGCAGATGTCTATTAACTGTCTTTTCATGTACTAAATGTGACCGCTCCATGACAGATTCCTGTCAATTATGACGTCCAAAAACTTGTGCGATCGAACGTATGGTACAGCTTGACCATTGATGCTTATGGTGAACTTAATCATAGGCTTGCGTGTAAAAGCTACGAGGGCGCATTTCTCGGAAGAAATTTTCAAGCCTCGATTTCGGAGGTAACTTAATGTTTCAGTGGCAGCTTTTTGAATTCTCGCTCGCTACTGCAGACGTGTTACAGTCGATGCCCAAATACAGACATCATCTGTGTACATTGATAGCCTTACTGTGCTTGGAAAATGCTCAGTGAGAGCAATTAGTGTAAGATTGAACAGCACAGGGCTGGGTACACCACCCTGAGGGACGCCTCGGTGGCTGTAATGAGGAGAGCTTTGACTGTCTTCAGTGCTCACAAAGAAGGATCGCATTGACAGATACCTACGTACCCGGCGATACATCCCACCACTACTCCTACATCTTCGATAGCGGTGAAGACAGCTTCATGCGTAATGTTGTCATACGTCCCTTTGACGGCTAGGAACAAAGATGCGCAGAGACGCTTACGGCCTTCCTCGTGTTGGACGTAAGTGACCAGGTCGACTACGTTGTCAATCGATGATCGACCACGCCGAAATCCTGGCACGGCATCTGTATGATGTTGTTGAACTCCAAGTACCACTCCAGGCGTCCCAGGATTATCCTTTGTATAACTTTGCCTACACAACTGGCCAATGCGATTGGACGGTGGGATGAGAGCTCCAACGGTGACTTGCCTGGCTCCAGAAGTGGAACTAGGTCACTTGTCTTCCAGCTTGTCGGGAGCGTCCCATCTTGCCAGGATTTGTTGTACAACTCCAGGAGCTAGATTCTAGCGCTTTCACACAGACGACACAGGGCCCTATAGGAAATTCTACTGGGCACTGGCGCCGACGTGCGTCCACTCAAAGCTAGTGCTGCTCCGAGTTCAACGATGAAAAAAGGCAAATCCATGCGGGAATCTAGTGTTTGTGGACAGCTGCTCAAGGGACATAGGCTATTAGACACTGCGAGTGGCCTAGATAATCTGGCACAAAAGCCTTGTGTCACGTCAATGTCGCGTCACTGTTCAGAAAATGCGAGAGCCCTGAATGGTGACCGCTGAGTGGGTTTTGTGCGGAGACCTCGTACCGTCTTCCACAATTGTGATAAAGGTTTGCGTGGGTCAAGTGACTCACAAAAAGCAGTCCGACGTTGCGAATCGAGTTTATCTATCCGGCTCTGAATCTTATTCTGTATACGTCGAGTGATCTGTAAATCTTCCTTGGCCTCGAAGCGTTGGTATCTTTGTTCAGTATGCCATCGGATTGCTTGAAGCCGTTCTAACTCAATGTCAAACTCACTGTGAAGTACGCAACAAAGGTCGAGACACCGTCAAAACCAATGTGGATCAACAAGCCGTGGGTATGAGAATCACAATTATCATATTATACGAGAACGCATTCATATCTACAAACGTGCAGTAAAGAAATAAATGAAAGAGGATGGCGAAAATAGGTGACTGAAAGGGAAGACGTGCACGCTGACAGCTTCCACGAAAAAAGGGCACATTCATGCCTGCCTACTCTTTATGGATGATAAAATCGTAGCAGACGTTGAAGGCACAAAAAAAGAAGGCGAAAAATAACCAAGCTACGGAACACACAAACAAAACTAGACGAGAAAGCGAAAATGAGTTAATGAACTGATTTTTGGAAATATGAGGGAAAACACTTTAAAAACGGGTCCCAGGTCACTTTTAGGGAAAAGAAAAGAAAGCTAGCAGGGCAAAATGGTAAGAGTGGTCACATTGACAAGTTCACTTACTCGGAAACTGGTCATCGTTAACGGTAGTGCACGTTGGCCTAGTATCTTATTTTCTTTTAGAAGCGGTGTACTCTGCGTAACGAAAGCGGGGAATTGTGAGATAAACTGTTCAAATTTTTGTCAGTGTGAACAGGATTTGAAACAATGCACTTTTCGTCTAATAAGTTGAAATAAATTTTTGAAATATATGTATTATCTCTCCGAGGAACCCGGTCATCGAATCTTACTACGTATGGCGTGCACTATTCGCTTGTGTAAAAGGGCAACCCTCAATTTGAGTTCAAAGTCAGTAACTTTCCTTCGTCTGCGCTTAAATCACGTACACGTTTCTGAGCGGAACCTTTGAACGGGGCACTATAAGAGTATCGTTGAGTGAGGTGATGTTCTGACTTGAATGTTTTGTGAGTATTGCTGCTCAACCAAAAAAAAAGAAAAAAATGGCAGCATATCCACGGAGTGAATGATGGAGATTGGGATGAAGCATCCGTTCGTCCATTTGTTCTTGCTTCCGTCCGTCTGTGTAACCATCCATGCGTCCATCCGCCCGTCCGAGCGTGCGTCTGTTCGTACGTCCACACGTCCATCCGTGCGCCTATCCCTGCGTTCGTCCTTGTATCCGCCCCTGCGTCCATCCATGCGACCATCCTCCAGTGCAGCCATCCGTACGTCCGGTCTGTGAGTCCGTTCGTCCATATAGTCAATAGTCCAAGTACCACCATCTCGCATCTTTTCATCATATATTCCGCATATAGAAGCACCGCCATCCAGTGGACATTCCAAGGACTAAACGAGAGGTGGCACACGCACACTTTCTTACGGCTTGCGCTTCGTGTCTACTTT